CATTGGCCTTTTTAGCTGCTGCATCACACTGTTGACTCATGTTCAGATCTATTTGTGTACATGCGCCTCACGTACATAGGTAAAGCCAAGCCATGCTTGCTCAGCTCCACATTCAGATCAGACAACAGGATCCCAGCCTCCACGGTCACCTGCTTCTTCTCTTTGTCCACCTGGAAGAGATGAGATGAGATGGATGGTTATAGGGCCCTGGAAAGAATTATTCTATGGACAAAACCAATCACAGAATCCTAGCCTCAAAGCCATAGACACAGTCAGCATTCTTTCTTATCCAGTAAACCTGAGAAGTCTTTGCTATTCTTTGCATTACAGAATCAGGGCATGCAACACACATTGCTAAAATTTAGAATACTTAGAACGCTCCTTTTTGGGTTTTTTTTTAAAGCACTCTGCTCTCCATGATAAATCTTGACTTTAAGGGTAGCTTTACTACCAGGTTGACCAAATGTCCTCCTTTTCCAGGTAACACTTCAACCTTCTGTCCAGGAGGAATTTCCAAACGCCCTCCATTTTGTGCATGATTTAAGAAGCGTGAATTTACATTTATATTAGTGTTTTTATTTTGCAATGTCCTACATTTTGCTTGAATGCCCTACATTTTGCGGTGCCTTGTCTTCCTTTGCGGTTAGGACATCTGGTCACCCTGTATACTACACAGCTATAACAGTTTGTCACCACTTTAACAATTATGATCTCCATCTATGACAGGGGCGTGCAACCTATGGCCCGCGGGCCGGTTCCGGCCCAGGTCCCCGCACTTACCAGCCCAGCCGGACCCCTGCCGCCACCACTGCCGCCGCGCACCACCACCGTCACATGTTTTGGCCACTGTGCGGATGCGCGTGCCGCGACCGCCATTTTGATTTCCAAAATGGCGGCCACAACGCATTTGCACATGCACAGGAGTACTGCGCATGCGGAAACGCGTCACAGCCACCATTTTGGAAATCAAAATGGCGGCCGCGACATGCACGGAGGCGGCTGCGGCCACGTGCGAGGGGGTGCGCACACGCGTGTGAGTGCACATGCCGCCATCCCCCCCCTCGGCCCGGTGTAGGGGAGGACGTTGGAGGACCAGCCCCCAGCTCAAAAAGGTTGACTACCCTTGATCTACGAAATCCTGGGATTTGTACTTTGGAGAATGATTTAAGAAAATGTCTGCTAGAGAGTTCTAGCACCCAGCAATGTAGCGGTTCTCGCATTCAATGCTCCCCATACCCTGCCGGTACCTTGAGGACCTTGTTCATCCTTCCCATTTGGATCATGAAGTCTTCTGTGCAAGCAATATCAGAAGGAGAGTGTCCGCCTCCGACCACTTTCACCTTCTTGCTCCTCTGCCTGGCCAAATCCAAGATCTGCAATCACACATATTTGTACAGAAACAAACCTCAGACCTGGGCAAGGCAACCAAAGGATGAGCCTGGGTCAACATAGGACCTCCAAGGGTATTTCTGCAGCCCTTGAAGCCTCCAGACTTCACAAACAACCCCATTTCAGGAATGATTTGCATACCTTCCAAATGTTCTGATTTGTTAGGGGCAATCCCAATTAATCCTCTGTCATCCCACTTTTCGAGGTCTTTTAAAATGGCCCAGTTTCTCTCTCCTCCTCCCACTTCCCCCCTTGTCCTCAGCTTATTGCAATTGCTGCAAACTGAGTTTGAAGTGCAAAAGTAGTATGCATTCTCTTAGCAGAGAGAAGGAGCATAATCGTGCCCTCCCTGAGTCAGTTTAGGCAAAAGCAACCTGCTGCAGCATCTCCTAGCTCATGTATCCTTCCTCATGAATAACTTGGCCACACTGGGATGCAACTTGGTCACATGTATCCCAGTTTTCATCTGTGAAAGGTTGGAGGGTATGCATTGCACATATGTGCTCCTGGAAACCTCTGGAAAGTGCATGTTTCCTCTAAAACTTTCTGAAAGTGATGCTTTTTAAAAAATAATAAAAAAATCTTTTTAGCAAACCAATAGCAGTTTACATTTCTATACCACTAAAAAGTGAATTCAGTACACCCTAAGCAGTTTACAATGTGTAAGCCAATTGCCCCCAAGAAGCTAGGGACCCATTTTACTGACCTACGAAAGGATGGAAGGCTGAGTCAACCTTGGAGCCCTGCAGGGATCGAACTCACAACCTTATGATTGTTTTACAGGCATTTAACCTCTGAGCCACCAGAGCTCCTGGTGACCAGAAATGTGCTTCTAGACATTTCTGTATTGGTTGGAGTTGGTGGAGCCCACATTAAATCTGCCCACATTTGCACAGCTGTGGAAAACTGGAAAGGTCACACTAACGGGAAACTAACCTCCTTGATCTCATCGACTGTTGTTGGCTGGAAATACAACTCTGGAGAGCAGCCGTAGGTCTTCGCCCAGTTCTGGAATCGGACTCCGCTTTGGCCGTGTACCTTGGTTGTGAATCATAGAATCATAGAATCACAGAATCATAGAGTTGGAATTTCCGAGACCCCAAGGGCCATCCAGTCCAACCCCATTCTGCCATGCAGGAACTCCCAATCAAAGCATCCCTGACAGATGGCCATCCAGCCTCTGCTTAAAGGCACAGGAAAGTCACCCAGGGAGATGGCTAATGTCCAGCTGAGCCCCACATCCTGGAAAGGGGTCGCTAATTCGGCTTCCCAACTTTGAGCATCATCTTCATGGCCAGACAAATGTGGATTGGGGCCCTGGAGCATTCTCTAAATAGGGATCCCTCTGTGCACATATATGGGATAATATACATCATGTGTATGTGATGGTTCAGCATAGCAAAGGAGGTCTTCACATGGACCTGCACTCAGCTGAGCCATGTGTATGTTTTTAATTGTATTTTTGCTTTGCTTTACTGTAAGCTGCTTTGAGTTCCAACTTGGAAAAAAAGCAGGATGATGATGATGATGATGATGATGATGATGATGACTGGGGCCGCTGCTGTACTGCAGAAATACAGCAGTTTGACATCACTTTAACTGTCAAGGCTCCATCCTGCCATTGGTTGTATGCCGTTTAAATTTATTGTATTTGTATTGTGAGTTCATTTATTTTAATACTATTTGAGTTTAATTCACTTTTAAGGAGTGGGAGGGTTAGGGTGTGAATTATAGGAATGTTTTAACTGTTCTTTGTTTTAACAATGCTGTATGCCGCCCTGACTGCTTTGCAGAGGGGCAGGTTACAAATAAAAAGTATTATTATTATTATTATTATTATTATTATTATTATTATTATTATTATTATTATTATTATCCTATGTAATGCTGGGATTTGCAGTTTATTGTGGCACCAGAGCTCTCTGAAAGCGAAGGCAAAATATCTCACAGAGCTACAAATCCCTGAATCTCATAGCACTGAGCCATGACTGTTAAAGTGGCATCAAACTGCATTAATTCGGAAATGGAATCCTCTTGATTCCATCAAGAACGGAATCAATGGAATTGAATGGAAACCATAGCAAACCCACTAAACCAATTGCTGAATGGTGAGTCAACATCTGTGTAAATCCCATTGATTCAATGGATTTACTCTAGTTGGGATTCTTGGTATTGGAAAGTATTGATATACACTTCATGGACAGACCCACTTTATTTTTATTTCTTCCCCGCCTCAATCCAGCACTTAACAGACAAAACACATCAGTCTTCTAAAAGGAAAAGTAAGATATACACACATTAAAACAATCCACATTTAAAATTCACAATTTAAAAATCGTCCGGATAAACCTGCTGGAAGAGATTGGACTTTAATACTCTTTTAAATTTGGATAACGTATTTAGCTGTTGAATCTCTTCTGGCAGGTGATGATGATGATGATTTATTGTATTTATATCCCACTCTTTAGAAATGTTCTTGCAATGGAGATAGGACTGAGTGAAATTTCAAGATCCTGGGGATCTTAAAATTCAGCCAGGCTCAGATAGGTGTAAATATATATATATATATATATATATATATATATATATATATATATATATATATATATATATATATATATATATATATATATATATATATATATATATATATATATATATATATATATATATATATATATATATATTTCTTACCATTTTGCTTCTTTTTATTCCCGGATGGGAAGTTCTAGAGAACACCAGCCGTCTTCCTGAGGGGGTCCCTAAGAGAGAAAAGAGGGTGTTTAAGCCCCAAACTTTCCTAAATGTTCATCAAAATAATAGCAACCATCCGTTT